ACCTTATACAGAAACATCTCCATGTTGATTCAGGCACCCTTGGTCAGTATTAAGCTGGCTTGGGAACATGACCTGGGGCAGTCCCTGGATGATGACCTATGGGACACAATCCTCACATCAATTCATAAATCTTCACTCTGTGCAAGCAATTTTCAAAGGCTAAATTGTCCAGCTTCTTCCCAGATGTGAACCCTACTTGCGATAAATGTAAAAACAATGTTGCTACTCTCTTTCATATGTACTGGCTATGCCCCCGCCTACAGGAATTCTGGGTAGACGTTTTCCTTACCTTGTCCAACATCCTAAATCAAAAACTAGACCCGGACCCCCTGATGGCTATGTTTGGTACAACCACTGTAGGTGTGCTGCACTTGACACCCTCGGAACGCCGCATGATTGCCTTTTCCTTGCTTCTGGCTAGGGGTGCACCGAATGGGAAATTCTTGGCCGAAACCGATACCGAAAATAGGAAACAGTTGGCCGAAAACCGAATGCCGAAAGGCCAAAAATGATTAATAGAAATAGAAATATATATATATATATATATATATATATATATATATATATATATAATGTATACATTTTTTACCAATGTTGTTCAGCTACCTGATTATGGAAATAGACATGATTATGGCAAAACTTAACTTAAATAATAATCACTATTATGGGTCCATAAAACATTTATTCAGCACTTTTGAATGCATACAGTACATTTATATATGTCATGTATTATTGCTAAAAAACATTATATCGCAGTCTTAGTGTCGCCAACTCGTTTCTAATATGCAAAGACAACAAATGCGTCTATGATGTATTTTCGATCAGACGAGATCTCTCTCCCCCGTCTGTGTGCGAGGGGGCGGGGCAGTTTACACACACGCAGCTGCTGCATGCAGCGGAGCACACTGCGGAGATGGCGGAGAGAACGCGCTCCGAGGTGTGGTTAAACTTTACCCGTCTCGATGTGGAGAATACTTGTTACCATAAGTGCAATAAGAGTTTAGCATGTAAGCACGAGCAATTTGTCTAAACATTTAGCAAAAGTGCACCGCATGCAGACGGAGGAATGTACCGGGTTCGACTGTCTTTCTAGCAGCTCTGTAGCCCCATCCACGAGTAACGTTTCCACGTCCGGTGTTATGTATGCTAGCAGCAACACACGGAGTTAACTACATGATACAAACATGGGTTAATGATTAGAGGTAACCGAGTTATTTAGTTTGTTAAAATTTCAGCTATTCTGTTTACAGTCTGTCATCACATTATTTAATACGATTTGTTAAAGGCTCAGGGCAATCTCGATGACAAAGAGGTCAATGTCCCCCCCCCCCTGTGAGCCAGCCGCGAGCATGGTCGCCGCGTCTTTATTACGTCATCACAACAACACGTTAGGTTACCAACGTAAGCCTGTTCTGACATTCGGTGATATTTTTTCGGTGCTAAAACCCTTTCGGCCGAAAGGGCCTTTTTAACCATTTTCGGCCGATAATTTTCGGTGGCCGAATATTCGGTGCATCCCTACTTCTGGCCAGACGTGCAATTCTACTTAAATGGAAGGATGCTGTCCCGCCCACATGCAATCAATGGCTTCGGGACATAATGTCCTGCCTTAACTTAGAGAAGCTGCGCTTCTCAATCAGAGGCTCTGATGAAACATTCTATAAGACCTGGGGTCCCTTCTTGGCTTACTTTAATAAGACCAAAGTAGCTTGATGTGGTTACTTGGCCCTTGACATGAAAACAGTGTGACGCCATTTTAATATATAACATATAGTAATTATATTCTCTACTCTGGACAATGTCCTATATAATTAGTCTGATCATCCACTGGAACGGGGAGGTATGGGCCATCTCTGGCATAATTATTTGGTGTATTTTTGTTTTTGTTTACTATAAAATGTCTTCAAGTTTTCTATGTAATGCTACATGTTTGCACAACTCACTGTATTGTGACACTGTTTTGGCCAATTTGTGGGATTTCTGTCTTGAACAAGAAATTAATAAAAATATTTTGAAAAGGAGGGTAGTGATGACAGCTTGTAGGATTACTGGTCGTGCTAATGTTGTCTTGTGTTCACCTCTGCATGTGTGTTCTGTGTTCACCTCTGTGTGTTCAGTGCCGTGTGTCTGACAAATAAAGTCAAGACCCCCTCAAAAGTTACGGTTTATTTCATTTTAAGGATGAGCACCAAGCAACATCTCCAGGTGCTCCTTTGAGAACCAGGGCAAACAAGTTATGTGCACCCCTGGATATAAGATAGAAGAACTGTAGAAAACAGTTCTGAACTGTTTCCGCCAGTTCTTTAAGTTCGTCGTTCGCGAACAGCTTCTCTTTAGCTTTTGGCGGAAGGCGGCGACTCAAACAAACGAATCGTTTTGTGGGAGGAATCAGTTCATCTCGTTCACTTCAAAGATTCGTTGAAAAAGAACGAATCGTTCGCGAACGACCCATCACTATAGGGTAGAAAGAATAATACTTTTTGAGCAGTTGATACAAGTCAGCTGCTCTACATAATGGTGTGTGCAAATAAGAGGCAATGTTCTGTGTTCTCTATATAATTGATTATTCCATTGGCTTTTAAACCCTACCATCATCATCCAACAATAATGGTGCAAGTCGTTAATACAGCGGACTCTTTATTTATGAACCAGACCTACACTGTATTGATCAATTGAATCCTAACTCAGTTTGTGTCAGTTAATGCCAGATTTAGTACAACTCGCTTTTGATTTACTGCAGCATCAGACAGAATGAGCATCACATGAAAACGAAGCAGCTGCAGTTTTCAGAGGCAGACACCACACCGCAGAAGATCACTGCATGATTGGAAAGACATGGTTTCCTGCTTACTGGCTGACCAAAAAGTTAAATATATTGAGGTTTTTTTAATCTTATCCTAACCGTGGTAATAGCTTTCGCTGTCACGGTCTCCAAGTATATACTTATTTAAAAACAACAAAAGTATTAGAAGATTACTTAAATGCAATTGGAGGACTGTAATTGGAGGACTGTTGGAAATAGACAATTTGTTGCTTTAGCTAGAAGTTGACTGATTTCCTTGAATAGATTGACTGGTTTAATATTACATTTGAAAAAGGTGAAAAATTGTTATGTGAAAGTGTTTGTCATGTTAATCCTTTAATTAAAAAGCCTTGTTTCCTTGATCAGGATCGAAACCAGCACAAGGCATGCAGCCATACAGCACTTCAATCTCCATTGATCGGGATGGAGATAAATTGATAGATTGATGTGACGTCAGTCCATTAGCCTACCATAATAATGAACCGGTCATTGGTAAAAGTAGTGATGATAGCTACATTTCTGTGCAATGAATTACAAATGTTACACCCACAATTACAATGCGTCTTTTCAAACTGTTCCTCCGAGACAAGTTTATTTAGCGCACACTGAGCCTTTTAATTGTCACTAGCCTGATTCCTTTAGCAGGTGCGTGGGCATCAATTAGCGAACGCCTTACGCGTTAGCCCTCATTCAGCTAGCCTGACCCTAAATACTGCCTAGCAGATACTCAAATATTGTCAATATCGGACGATGAAGGCCCACTAAACATAGCTGCAATGTCTTACAAGTACTGTTAAAATAACAAGTTTAATTACCAGGTATTGGTTTGTATGTTAGCGTAACTGGCTTCATGCTATTGAGCCATGGTTACGTTACCTGAGATGTACTAACGTTAGCACGCAAGCTAAACTACCTCTCTAGCTGTTTGCATGTTATGCAGTGGAAGTAAGACAAACATCTACTTACTGCCTCTGGACAAGCTCCTCAGCGGTTGGTGGTCCCTGCTGCTGCTGGAATGACTTCAGAGACTCAAAGGCCTTCATCAATTTCTCCATGGTGGCCATTTTAGCAATCAACAGTAAGCAAGCTAGCTAGGCTAACTAATATTTACTATGTGAGCTAGCTAACTAGCTAGCACACTGGAGAGAGCAAGCGGTGCGTAGTGCGACGAGAGTGGTAACACTGCTCGCGACAACTACCACCGGCTCTCTGCCTTCTCTTTGTGCACGATAGCTCCTATTGTTTTACAATGTAAAACCTGAATGAACAAAACGTTGGTCGATAATAAGCCATATTTGATGCTGCTCTGCGTTCCCCAGACAAACCACACCAGGAAGTGGCCTATGTGAGTTTGACAGAAAGGGGAGGGGTGAAACGTGAGTGGCCAATCAAATCGCCATTTCAATGTTGAGTGACTTGAGAAAGAGCCAATGAGCGACTGAAGGTTTTTTTCTTTTGTTGTTATTGTTGCTGTCACGGGACCGCTGTAATCCAGATTGAAAAGGGTTATTTGAGCAATATCAATGCTTTAGCGCTGTTTTTTATCCATGCGCCAACAAAACAAGTGGGAGGAGTGAACATGTGGAGTCTAAATAAATGTACTGTGAATCGAAACAAGGAGGAAAAAACGTGCATTGAGGTTTAGTTTATCTGGAAATGCTATGGGTCATCGGGACCTATGCTGTCCTGGGACGTTTGTGTCAGAATTGAAAACAAAAAATGAGGGAGCGCAAATGAGAAAGCTGCAGCGAGAGCAAAAGTCTAATCATTGAGAAAGAAGCAAAGAGAACTGCAAACAAAAAGATTTGTTAAAACAAAGAAAAAATACTTAGTTTACATGATTACACAAATGATTTGTTTGCAAATTATACTTTTATTTTTTAAATTAAATGTATTTTGCTTGACTCCGTTTTTTCCCCTTAAACTCTTAGTTTTGCTTGATTCTGAGAAAGTGTTGCTTTATTTTTATGAAACAAAACTAATCCCATAATTACCGACCCCTGCCCCCTGGATAAATCACCAATGGATAACAGCAACTGCTCAATAATAATACATCTTTAACTTTAACCAATATGCTTTTTATGTAAATAAGTTGTAGTGAGATCTTTATTAAGACCTTTAACAAACTCAAGCAAATTCCCTAGATGACAGACTTATTTTCTTCCATACACACAAATTAATAAATGACACAAATAAGTCAAGACAAGTATTTTTTTATACAAATGGCAGTGTATTATTTCATAATTACAAATGTCAGATATGGTACAACAACCAGTGATACAACTTGTACAAGAATTAACAATGACTGCAGTGGTTGAACGACATGACTGTACAGATACAAAAAAAGAAGAAAATCAAGAAGTCACAGGCCCCGCTTGAATACCAATAATGCGTTTCCTCATTCCTCCCTTCCTTATGGGGAACTTATCTGAAATATCGGGACAGAAGAGCATGTAACCCTGGAGAACCGCCAGGCATATATCTGTAGTTAACCAAAAAATGTAATTCAAGTGACAACAAAGACCAGAGTATCTTGCACTTTAAAACGTTTCAGGTGTGTGCCATCCCGCTTTTTCAAGAGGGAGGGAGGAGGGGGGGGGGGAACTCGCCATCACCACCGTTGGAGGAAGGCAGGAAAAGGAATGCATGTTATGGCTTCAAACGGGGCCAAACTCAGCTGGTCACCTTGCCATTTATAAAGTTGTCCTCAGATACCAGTGAGATATGTTGGCACTAGAAGGTCATCATTTACATATAGGCCTACAAGGAACCTGAAGTATTACAAACCGATACATGCTTGAGTAATAAAACATGTTTTTTTTTTTTTTTTTAAACAGGCATTACAATGCACTTAGTGCGGACATTCAAAACTGTTGAGCTGTTTAAAGTTTCCTTTATGTGAAGGAATTTCTCTCGGAATGGACGGAATGATAGAGAGGTTGAAAAAAGGTGAGATGTCAGAACTCAACTCGGTAAATTGGCACATACAATAAAGACAGTCAGTCTTTCTTCAGCAATTTGTTTTCCGAGAACAAGACAAGTTTTACTAAATGTTGCTTTTGGTATCATTGGCATAAAAGTTCAAGACACTTCCTATAGTCATTGTCAAAACACACCATAGTGCAATGAAACTAAACATAATTCCTTTACTGCTATATGGATGTTAGAAGAGTAAAGTTCATACAATGACAGAGGCATGGGTGGCAAACACAGTTTAGTTTCCCTGTGAGAGTGAGTGAATGTGTGTTAGAGCTTAGTTATATGTTAGAAATACATCATTTACATGTTAAAATAGCTAAATAGCTAAAATCTACATAGGCAAGAGAAATCAGCTTCAAAATGTGCCTGAGAGCAACAAAGAAAAACAAAGACACTCAGGAAAAAGTGACAACAAGCCAGAAACAGATGCACGCATTCGATTCCTGATTTTTCATAATGGAATGTGCAACAGGGGACAATTTTATTTATTCAAAAAGCCAACTCTCCAAAATAGTAAACCAGATTGGGAATTATATACGTACCATTTTAAAATGTTTTCAATGGTTTGAAATTCAAATGAGTGACGTTCAAGTCTATACGTGATTTTAACTATTGTATGTTTGTACTTCGATGCATTGGATTGAACAGAAGCTGCATTTGCATACAATGTAATACACGCACACGCACAGAGCCAACATGTCCAGATTGGGTATTCACAGCATTAAAAACAGGTGGTGGGGGGAGTAAACAGCAACCTTCTCAAAAGCAAAAATTCAAAAGCAAGATAGCTTCAATTGTCTCTGAAAATCAAATGAGGACAGATGGTTGGAAATGCACAGAAAATGTATTTGTTCATGATTGAAAGGAAACACTTCTATGTTTGAAAAAGAGCACACAACTGTGGTTCTGCAAGTGTTCCTGTACACAGATGATGGTAACTCGATACGTTTCTTCCTCTCTACACACAAAACAACTGTCTCAAGCCATTCCTATGATAGAACAACATACAAGATTTCAATGGTGGGTTTATAGTAATGCTTTCATTTAGCACAAACACAGCTAAAGCTAAACTGGAGGTCTACAAGCGGGATATTTGCTATCTACGATCAACAGACACAGTATTGTGACTTAGCGCAGAGGCTAACAGCTGCTAACAGCAGAATCAAAGGAAGTTCGTTTTATGCAACCCCAATTTGTTATCTAGATGAAGCCCTTGTCAGCTGCAGGTCAGATCTTTTATACAGTGCCATCATCATCATCATCATCATCATCATCATCATCAGTCTATGTGCTATCTCATTCGCCAGTAAACAAATTATAGATTACTGGGAAACTTCGAGGGGAAAGACTTCCGCTTATAATAACCAGAAAACTAAGGAAACTAAGGAAAGCCAGGTTGTACAAAAAAGAAGAAGTTAAAAACAGGAGGAGGAATAAAGATACAAAAAAGGTTTTGCCTGAGTGAATAATGTAACAGACTTTTACTTAACAGGTGTGCTCCTGAAGGAAACACATGTTCACATGATCCGAGCGTTTGCAGCTCAAAGGAGATTTTTTTGAGGCCTAGGAATTATATGTATCAGGCCCTGTGTTACCAAAAAAAAAGCCTCCTTGAAATATACTAAATGTTTGTACATGCTGACAAAAAGATTGTCAGAAATAAATCCATCACTGCCCGAATTAAATAGGCATGAAGAGGATGTTTAATTTCACATGCCATACAGTCCAGAGGGGAAGATCAGGTTTATCATATCCGAACCGATTTAAATCTAAGGGGCAGCTGGAGATGGGGAAACACATGGGAAGGTGTAAGAAGCTGGGCATCAAAGCAATGCTAGACTGGATTCCTTTCCCCCTCAAATCATTAGGATCTATGCGCTTCGTTCATATCTACCTGAGCCTTGAAGGGTGCCGAGGCTGAGGGGTTAGTTTAGGAACCGATGTGCTAACAAATCAAAGACAAACATACAGCACATATAAAAACAAAAAGGTTATTATGCTACATTGAAAGAAAAAAAAAAACATACTGGTACTGTACTTCTTTAAAAAAAAAAAACTCCCCAATACACGTTATCCATTCCAAAAGAAAACAAAAAGGAAATAAAAACGTAATGTATGCATTCAAGTGGTACTTTTATGGCTTTTTGTACAATACAACCTTTAGTGAAAATATACATCTAGACATAAATTCAAGTACAAATGTACAAAATCTTTAAACTCATACTTTTTTCTTTAATTATAATACACTTTTAATACAGCTCATAAATACAGGTCAACATTCACTGAGTTCCTAAGATTTGCGCTCTGTTGGAGTTTGTGGTGAAGTTCAACGGTGAGGGGTGGGGGGGTGGGAGGAGGAGGTGAAAGAGGAGGCGGGAGGAGGGAGTGGTTTAAAGTCGTGATGGCTCTTCGATCTCGTCATCACTGTAACCGCTCTTAAAACAGACCTGGGGAGAACCAGAAGTGAGGATATATCATTAAATTACAACATTAAAAAACGTACATCACCGCGCCATCTCACATGTGCGACCTTGACGTAACCACATCACAAGAAGAAGTATTTCTGTAGTGCCCAAGATGGTGCCTGGCACTCAAACACACCACTATGAGCATGTTAGAAGGTCAAAACTGAAGCAAAGACGTAGGTTTAGTAGCAACTTCTAGATGTGCTTCCTATAATAATTGCCATATAAGAAAACAACATTCTATGTGAATCTTTTACTGTAGTAATCCGACTTAAAAAGGTATGCCGTTTCCTTTATAGAGACCTGAAAATAGTTGTTTTTTTGTGAGGGGGATACCTTATCTTTGATAATTGCTTTTATTTTTAAAAACCTGAAACATGTTCAACACATACATATGTGAGAAATGCCTTAGGTCTTTCCCTCACGCTGAATCTGAGCTTGAATAACCCGCACTAATAATAAAGCAATGTTTGTAGCATAATTGTAAAATAGAACTCTATTGTAAAATAAAACGTTTCTGTCCTAAAGGACGGATGAAGGTTGGTGGAAGTAACCTGTTAGCCGAGCAGCTCCTGTTACCAAATAAATACATTTGACTGAATACTGATGAACATCTTGTCTCTGCTCACAACCACCAACCAGGTTCTGTTTGACCTTCTTTGACAAAGTGGCATAGCAACACATACAGAATATAATATGGGAAGAGAAAGAAGACAAATTTAAACTAGGAAGGACTAAACTGGAGATAACACAATTCACAGAGGTTCAGGACTGGAGTTTTCACATGTTGGGTTTGGGCAAGGCGTAGGGTGTGAGGAAAAGAAGGAAGGAAGGAAGGAAAGAAGAAAAGAAGTACCTTAGCCCCCACCCCCTCGGACAGTTGCCGGAGCACTAGCACTTGCCTCTCTTCTGAACAGGCGGGTAGAAGAAGCCTCTCTTGGTGGAGGGTTAGGCCGGTTCACGTCCAGGTCTGAGCACAGCGTCCCGTCAGTCTCGTAGACGTTGATTTCTTTGAAGCACTCCATCTCAATCATCTACAACAGACAGGAGGTGGAGTTATGGATTATTTTTAATACCTTTCATGAGTTTAATTTACTACAAAAGGGTCTGTGAGTTGATTTTAAACCTGAAATCTGACTTTTCTTTAACATTTTGTACCATGGAAAAATTCATAATGGTCTCAAAATGTTGATACCTAGCTTTTGAGGATCATTATAACCCCAGGTAAAAGACTTTCACAAAATAATAGCTCCAGTGGATTTCTCCCTACATTGCTTGTCTTACTAACATAATCAACTCTATGTGTTCAATGGGGAAAATTACTTTATATATTTATCTCCGACTCCAAAAGAATATGTGGGATACATATTGGGGAAAATGGGATTTATATGAACGTCAAGAATGTCTTTTTCATGCCTCTTATGCATTCTTAACTGTACCTGTGCTTTTACTTTATTATTGTATTCCCAATCCCAGTCCTCACCTGTTCTATGTCAAAATAAAGTAATACGTTTTTTTTAAAGGTCTGTTTGTCAGCATATGGGCAGCTGCCATTTTATTTATAACACAACCCTCTCTACTGGTAGATGTGAATGTATCCATCTGGATAGAGATTTAATAATGTAAATGAACACCTCCTCCACATCCCGCCTCATACATATTCAGTCACTTGACTCATTCATACTCAATGGCATATTCACGTTTAAAAGCATTTATCCTTGATGACTCTTAAAGAAAGCTATTCTTTACTGAAAGGAGTGTCCCCCAAACTGCTATAAATATAATTGAATTAATTATAATATAAATAACATTTTTGTTAGGGAGTCTGTTCCAGCGGGTTTCGAACTGGAGTTCCCCAACGCCCCCTTTATCTGATGATCAAACGCACAGACCACTGCGCCACCCGTCCCTATGAATGTCATCATGATGATCACATTAAGATTGAAAAGTAGGCCCAACTGTATGTATTTCAGAGCCACGGCCACCTACGGTTAGGTTTAGATTTAATGACTAAATGCAATTACGCCAAACATTAGGCACTTTCACACCAAGTACTTTTCCCAGGAATAGTTCCCAGAACTTTTCCCCGGAACTGTCTAGTAAATCGCGTTCACACCGGAATAAGTCCCTGAGGGAGGATTACGCAAATGAAGCCGCTGACGTCACTTCTAATTCTTCTTCTTCTGCTGGCAGGCCGCAAACAACTTCACGGCGTATACTGCCACCCGAAGTCCCGGAGCCCCCCGGAGTCCGGGACTTTGGGTGGCAGTAAATCACCACCCGAAGAACCGGGTAAATCGCCAGAACTGCCGACACCTCCGCATCACTCCCCCGATCCCACGTTTTATTTTGTGTTGCCATAAGTTAGTCTCTCTCCGTTGGTGCACTGGGCTAATGCTAATGCGAGGAAATAAAATGGCGGCTTCACAAAAACCTTTCAGAGTTTTACGGGGCGTGGTTTGCAATTCGCCCAGCCAATCAGAAATTGGAACCTTTTTCTCCCCAGGAAAGTACCTGCTCTCTAGCAGGGACTAAAAAGGGGTGAAAAGGTTCCCGAAAAATAAATCTTTTTGGTGTGAACGCATCATCCCAGGAACTATCGGAACTATTTCTGGGAAAAGTACGGGAAAAGTACTCCGGTGTGAAAGCGCCTATTAGCTACCTTTAATTTAGCTTTATAGCTTAACGTTAGCTTTTTGCTTCTGACGGTTGCATTTAAACTTAAACTATTATAACAGTTGAGTTAACATTGGGGGAGAATCCTGCTGAACACAACGTGTAAGTACTATAAATGTGTGTTTGCCAAAGATGTGGAATATTCCAAAATCCAATGGAAAAATCCCATTGCTTTTTGTTTAAGAAGCCCTAGCGATTTTAACTTCCTGGTGAGCCTACAGATATACATCATCAGTGCACAACTATACACAGGTATTCCTAGATCACCAGTGCTGTACTATGTTGTGGTACTGAACGATGACATCATCTCAGTGGCCTGCAGTACCTCGTTCTGCCACGGGATGGAGACGCTGCCTGTGACAAACTTGTGGTAGAAGTCATCGTCTGTGGGGTCAAGGTTCACGCCTTTGACGGTGGAGAACTGCTCGATGTCCAGGACGTCTTTACAGTACACGGCTCGAGGCTACAAGAGACAGATAATGAAAGAAAGAAAACAGACAACTGTGAAAAGTGTCTTTATTTCAGATTAAATAGGGGGGAATACCAATCCTTGAATAATTCCAAGTCAGATGGTTATTATAACAACATGGGAGTTTTCACACGCCTGAGGACAGCTCTGTTTTCTTCAGCGAGACCCAACTGACCTGAATAACCAAAAATAGAAACGCAGATAGCACTATCTACTTTCAACTATTGATTTAACCTCTGAGGCCAGTTGCTATCTCACTCAGAATTGTTATGACTTTGAAAAGTAACGATTCTATTTGAACAGGCTCAAATCTATGAATGCAGCACACACTTTTGATATATAAATAATAATATGATAACCATACCATTGTTTTATAAGCATGTTTTATCCATGTCCGCCAGTTTAGAATTGCTAAGGACGACACTGAAATCACATGTCTGCTTCTCATCGCCCTCACTAGCTGCCATGATAACTAGCTTATACTGAAACTGTTTGTTTACTTGTGACAATGGTATTTCCTGTATGCTGATTTCCAGCACGCCAAGGATCTCAGGCAAGAAGCTGTGAATCGAGCCTGTATGCCCTGTGAGAGTGTGTGTGTGTATGTTTTATGTGTGTGTTGTGAGCACTGTGCTTACATCGGGGCTGAAGGGAGGGTCCCAGCATGTTGGCCTCCAGCCGTTTGAAGTTGATGTTTCTGAAGATGGGGTGCTGCTTGACCTCTACGGCCCCCTCGACCCTGACACCCGAGCCGTTGCTTGGGGTCCTTGGACAGGAGCTGTCACGCAGCGGGAGGATAAGGAAAAAAGAAGAAAAACATGTGAAAACATTACAACCCTATAGAGATATGCGTGTTAGAAGTACTCAGATCCTACACTTAAAGGGGCCCTATTATGCTCATGTTCAGGTTTATATTGGTATTGTGTGCCTCTACTGTGACATGTTTCCATGCTTGTTGCATGTTCAAAAAGCTCTTTATTTTTCTCCATACCGCATGTTCTGCAGCACCTCTTTCACCCACTGTCTAAAACCAGAGCCCAGGCTGCTCTGATTTGTTAGCTGGCTGGCTCTGTGATTGGTCAATGGCTTAGAGATGCCCTACCACTAAGCCTATTGCGTACAATGTGTTGGTGCGCATTAACGTTTTACATAGTGATGTCATTATGTTACAGAAGTTAGCACAGGAGTTCAATCGAGGAGTGTCGGGCAGAGGGGAGTGTGTGGGAGAGAAACTCCATCTGAAAGAGAGGGCAGGGGGAGTTCTGCGATGCTGGATAACTCCTGACAGTTATATTAATCCTTACCGTGCAATATATACAAAACATGGTGGTAGATTATCCTCTTTTCTTTATGTATCTGAAGCGAATAAAAACGGATACAAATCAATGCACTCGGGGGGTTAATGCAGCACCATGATGGATACAAATCAGACTGCTGTTTCTATGAGAGCTTCTGGGTAATATTACTAGCGCACCACCTACAGTGCAGCAGGCTTATGAAGTGGATGAGTGCTGTTTAGTGGTTTGGCTATCAGTGGACACTCTCACTGGGTCTGTTGTCACCCAAAAGCAGCCGTCTTTCAACACACCTAAAGCTTCTCCCTTTTCTACCACATCACCCACTTTCTCTCGCTTTAGTTCCTTAATCTTTCTCTTTGTGCAATGTACACTCAGGGTTCAAAGCAGACTCACTTTCTGCTCTTGACAACTTGGATCATTTGTCTATTTTAAGCCGTGGTAATAGCAATCTCTGTGGAAGGGCATAGTCTGTCTCTCCCCCTTCTCCTTTCTCTGCCCTTCCTTATTATCTCGCTACCATTCCTTCTTGAAACCTCTTTTCTCTCCACCCTTCCCGATCCCCCTCTCCCCAGGGAGTCTGTGATTCTGCTGAACCTCGAGTCAGAATGTTCCACCGCGTCACACAAACAAACGTCCCCCTCCTGATCAGAGGGGGAGCCGCTCTGTGTAGCAGGGAGGTTGTGAAAGAGACATGGGAAGATTTTAAAGCTAACATTTTAGAAACATGTCTTCTTAAACTTGCAAACGTTTTCTATGTTCATGTAAACACTCGGTGGAATTTCTTTGTATATTAAAGAGGCGGTCAAAAGGGGTTACTTATAGTAACAAAGTCACAGAATTATCGACACTGCAGCTCCCCTCAGCTCAGCAAATGTAGCGTCTTTCATCAACTGTAACGGTACGTCCACACTGCAGCTTTTCAAAAATCTTGAAAATCTTGGAGCTGGGCGTGTCTGAAAGCTTGGGGAATTTTTGCGAGCAACGAGACCAACAACCAATCACATGAATCTCCCGCCCCCGACATACAAAGCAAAAAAACCCCGGGGATTTTATGTGAGCAATATATATATATAAATAAACTCCCCAAACAGGCGAAAACCTACCAGTTTCACCCACTGTCTCTGCCACCTCCCTCCCTCCGGTTTGTATCCCGTTAATAGTTCTGGTCGTAAAGAACCGGGTGATTTGCTACCGTAATTTCTCGTTTGGAATATGAGGAAATGAACTGCGGTCTGGTTCTCCCTGCTTACACGCGGTTTGATTGGCTAGCGCTTCTACTGTCAGATTTGCATAAACGGGATTTGATTGGCTGACGCTTCCAGCTCAGCTTCAAAAGTAGAACATTGCTCAACTTTGAATCCTGGAAATCCTGGAAATCTTCGCTTCGCTCCCCCACAATGCAGTTCGGCGACAAGCGAGGCAAAGTGACGTCATTCCCATTCAAAGTCAATGGGCAGAGAAGCGTTGGAAGCGGTTGAAGATTTGTTTAAAGCTGCAGTGTGGACGTACCGTAAGTGTTCCGTTTGGATTTAGTCCCATTGCTCTCATCACCACTTTTAACGCATTTTGTTTGTGATCTGTCGAGCACCAAATCAGATACACACAATGTAAAAAATCTGATGAACATAGAGGATTTAGCAGCGAAAGAGCCAGAGATTTATCTCAGGAGTTGGTGGAGACTAGAACATAACTAGAGTAAAACAAAGCAATGAAAGTTATTAATGGCTTGCATCGCAAATACAAATGAATGCTATTGTTGCTCTGTATCAGCTGGATGTGTAAATATGTACATTGTTGCTAGCAATTGTGATAATTTGTCAGTGATGTGATGGCAGTTTGTTTCAATGTCTGTGAATGGCCAAAAAATACATAATGAACTATATTTATAACATGTGATCTTAAACAAAACTAATATGTCAGAGTTTAAACTCCTAGTCCAAACCGGAAACTACAGGTGTTGGTGCACAAAATGCACACTATGTTGGGATTAACTTGAGAGAAAATGTTTAGCCAGAAGCTACTAAATTACCAATTGAAATATATTTTTCCAAAAGCCAAAAATCAGACCATGTCCTTTGCAATGTAATACTGTTAGGTAGTGTGGTTTCTGATCCTTCCTGAGCAACTTCTGCTTTCCATGCGTCACTGTTCCACTAAGTGAGTGGCAGAACATAAAAGGTGCTCACCAATTGAGGCCACTGCTACTTATTATATTAATAAAGGCAGTTATTTATTGCAGTAATATAACCATGTGCATGTCATTTATCAAAATGTGAACTCGAAATGTCATTCCTGTCCTAATCTGAAATTCATCATTAAGTGGTTAGACAATGTTTTTTTCTGCATGTTCCTCAAATTCCCTATCCATGTCCTCATTTGCCACTAGTTTAAAAAACTTGTTTTTGTTACTAGCTAACCAATCAGAGCAGACTGGCCTCTGGTTTCAGACAGAGGGTGAAAGAGGTGCTGCAGCACAGGCAGTAGGAGACAAATAAAGAGCTTTTTGAACATTAAAGCATGGAGACATGTCCCAGTAGAGACAACAAATATGAACCTGAAACATGAGCATTACAGTGCCCCTTTTAAGAATGCGGCAATGTTCCATCCTCCCTCACCTGTCTGCAGATGTCCTTCGCCTCCTCTACGAATTTATCAGAGTACTCCTCCTGGTCCTCGCGCACTCTCCTGTCCACCTCCTCCCGCTTGACGCGCTCCTTGCGCTTGCGGAAGGGCGACTGGCCCTGAATCTCTCGAAGATCAGGCAGCCCAGCCCCCACCAGTCGGGGCTGACGGAGTAGCTCTCGTTCTGGATCACCTCGGGAGCTGAGGGAGGGACGAGGAGCGAGAAAAGAGGAGTCAGTTGAGGGGAAATCATCTCAATCCAGTCAAACAAAGACAAAGAAGTAATGGTGGAAGAGATTTGAGTGAGGAGGGGCTTAAAGAATTGACTACAGAAGGAGGAAAAGAGAGCCCTGTTTTTGTAGCTACAGTGCATTGACTCCCAGTATCTTGAAGAATTGATTTGTAAATCCTATTACTGGTTTACAAAGCTCTTAATGGTTTGGCACCCTCGTAGGCATTAAAAAAATTCCTGAAGTCCCGCCAAAAAAACGGTCGAGGCAGCTTTTCTCGAACGGTGGAACACCCTACCAGGGATTATTATAGAGGCATAGTTAGTGGACATTTTTAAAACGACAGCTGAAGAGATATTTTTTTAGATTACCTTTTTATTTGCAACATCCCGCTTTAAATTAGACTTGTAATCATTATTATTCTTATTAATTTGTATTCATTTTAAGAGTTTTTAATATTTTACTGTATTTATTAATGTTGTGACTTATGACTTCCTTGTGCTCCTTAAATTGTTATATTGTGTTTTTATTCTACATACTTTCAAAAGGGTTTCAACATATATTCTGACCTGAATATCTTGTTTTCGGTTTGAATTTGTGATGTGTGGCATGTTGTTAAAGCACTTTGAGCTTCACCAAGTGTATGAAAAGTGCTAGACTAATAAAACTTTACTATTATTATTATTATGATATATATATATATACATTTTTAAAAAGAGTAGCCGAATCTTACCCATGTATCCAACGGTGCCCACTCTCCCTCGTATCGTCTCTCCTTCAGGGATTTGAACAGCAAGGCCCAGGTCTGAAATTCGGATGTGTCCTGAAAATGAATAACCCACCACAGATTAATAATGGAACTGAGATCATGCTAAATGTACATACTAGTATAACATGGACACTACAGAGGAACACATTACATCCTATAATAATAGCCATGGTCTTTATTGGAGTGTGAAAGAAATTCAATAACAAAAGACAGAAATGTAGGAAATGACTGCTTAAGAGGAATGGGCTACATCAAAGGACAAGGAAAACAAAAACATACCACGATCATCCAGAAGGATGTTTTCAGGTTTCAAATCCCTGCGGGTAAAAAATAAAAAGAGAGAACACATTAGGATTTCATTATGTTGTTATCTGTTGTATAAAAATAGAACTTCCATTTGAGGGTGTAACAATAAAATCCTGGATAAATATTTGAATGCTTTATTACTTTGTTAACATTTCATTGTCTTTTATTGCCTGTGTGCTATTACACTTATCTCTCATGTGGATTCATAGATGTCTTGTGCACACATATATCTTTATATGCTTCATTTGCTTTCATGCGTACTATTGTACCCAGCTATTTTCAACATTGTTTGAACAGAATATCCTGTCATCCCAAAAACCTATTTGCATGTTCTTTCAGAGCATTTTTTAATTAACTTGCCTCAATTTTATTTGACTTTATTTGAACCATCTTTTAAGCTTGATTTATCCAACTTATTCCAAAGTGCAATAAAAACATTTTTTTTTATTAAAATAGCTATAAGAAATGAAAAACTAGGACACTCTACTAACCAATGCCAAGCTCAACTTCAATGCCAACTGTGAAGTTTACAGTAACACATGCAGAGATGAAGGAACACGGTGTGTTTATATGACTCTGTGGGCCATGTGTATGTGGGTGCATGTGTCCACTGAGAACATCAGTGTTTATGTTAGCACTACTCTGAGGGCTCCACTGAGTGGGACAGGTGCATGACACCTAAATGAAATCAGCACTCTCATAACATTAATCCAGGGACATTCATCATCCAAGACTTTCCATTTGTTTATCTTACACGACTGCAAGAACTCTTTCGGAATATATCTCTTCATAACACCAGAGCTAAGACCAGTATTCAGTGTTTTTGACCTTAAGTTCATTGTTGTCAGTCGTCTTTGGGTTAAAGGGGTATTCCACTAATGTACTACTGCACTTCCATAAAGTTTGGGAGAAACAGATTGAAAAAAGGACAGTCAAGCTTTAGTTCATACATTTCCCATGATGCAACCGAGTAGCGCCTTTTATTAGACGCTTACTGTCGTACGTAAAGACTCATTTTTAATAATATTTTTACTGCATTTGAATTTAACATTAACCTCATTGTATTTGAATTTAAAAAACGTCAATAATTTGCACACTAATATAATTCATATAGTATCCACTGTTTATACAAGTAGGTGTGATGTTAAGTGTATTATAATTTATAACTTATAAGTGTATTATACCTTGTTTGTTATATTTGCTTTTCGTGTATTTTTCTCCCAATTTTTTATTTATTTTATTTTTAACTCATGTGCAATGCAAAATAATTTTGATGAAAGTTGATCAAATTAAATGTGTACTGTATATAAAAGGAATATTTGTATGTTTTCATATTTTAAATACGTTTAAGGTTATTTGGGTTATTTAGATATTGATATTTGTTGTGGGGTGTATAGTGTCCCTCTCTGACGCCCCTGGGGATATTCATTTCATAAGGGGGAAAGACTAGTTATTCTACACATATTGTTTTTATGTAATTATCATTTAAAGACTTATTAAGAGTTTTTTGAGATCATCTGATTTAATCACTATGACATCATCTGGGTTGTTCCTTATACTTTAGAAAGATCCCATAGGAGTCACAAACCACATCATTTGTATTTACTGGTTGGTAGGGCTTCTCATGACAAGTCAACTGAACTTCCTGTTACAAGTCAGTGCAGTGCCAGGAAATGTAACCACTTGTAATTGCTCATTCTCTTGTACAACAGTTCTTCTGGGGCTGTAAACCACCCAACATCCTCCTCAGGGGCAGAGATCCTCAAAATACTCCTGAATATTGTTCCTAAAGCCTCAGGGTCTACTGCTTTCCTGATTGAAGCGATAGAGTGGTGCAGTGATGACGTAGGCCGCAAGGTCAATTCCATCGACTTAAAGCTATGGGATTTTCCAATACATTTCGGAATAATTCAGAAAATAAGAAGACATTAAAACTTCGGACATTCACATGTGGTGTAATAACTGACCAGAAGTGGTAAAGTGCCAACTCATTTCTGAGTTGTAGGACTCACTCCTGCACCACTCTATAGTATTATAAAAATATGTCTATGTTCATATTTTTGTTGACTTGATTTGCTAACCTGTAGACTATCCTCTCACGGTGCAGGTCCTCAAGGCCACAGCAGATCTCAGCAGCGTAAAAGATGGCCCTCTGTTCGTCGAAGCCCGAGTTGCCCATGTTGTAGATGTGGAACTTTAGGTCGCCGCCATTCATTATGGTCAACACCAGGCACAGCGCATCCTTGGTCTCATACGCATATGCTAGACTAACCTGGAGAGGGAGGCACATTTTGGGGAGGAAGTAGCAACGAAGGAAGGTAAGGGACCAGTCAAAGGGAAAGTGTAGAATAGGGCAGAGAAAAGGGGGGAAGAGGAGGAGAAGACGTGAGAGGCAGTAGCTAGAGGAACAGTTTTACTTCAAATAATCATCCATTATCCCAGGAGGAATGTACACAAAGAACCCTAACCATAGCTCCAAGGAAAACCAGAAGCTTTTTCTCCCTTTCTTACTCGTGTCCTTTCCCTCTTAGCCCATCATTTATCTCTCTTCTCTCCCTTCATTCCCACCAGCCTCCCCTTTTCGCCTCTCCCATCCTCCCCTGTGGGTCAGTGACACCAAGGGTACAGTGTGTGTGCATGCTCTGTTCTGTTCAAGCAGGATGTTGCTGCCATCGGGAGGAATCCCATCTGCTCCGGACTACGCAGTCAGAGACGGACGATGAGAGGGGATAGGAAAAAGTTATCATGGGCCGAATGGACAATATGTTCAAAAATATACAAATTGTACTTAACCAAAACACACAAATGTGAACTACAAGCCAAGGCAAAAAGTCTAACGCACCCTCCCGAAAGTCATATTTATACATTATGCATGGACACAATGTATCGAACATGGCTCCTCCACACCGACATATCCACAAAAAGCCTCCCAATGCTAAAAGAAGCTTCAATAATTTCCAATCTCGCAATGCCTGACATGTATGCTAACGCGATGAAAACCAAAGGCTTACTGGAAAGGTTTCTCCCAAAAAGAGTTGAATTAAAACATCAGACATTGTTGTGTAGGAACTATTTTACCATATTGGCACCATTTTCACAACATTTCAAATGATAGCCGGAGGAATCAGTGTCAGAGCGCTACCTGCCGAAGACTTTAGAACAAGGTCACCCTGCCCTGCATCCACACACACACACACACACACACACACACACACACACCACACACACACACACCACACACAAAACACACACCACACACACACACACACACACACACACACACACACACACACACACACAACACACACACACACACACACACACACACACACACACACACACACACACACACCACACACACACACACACACACACACACACACACACACACACACACACACACACACACACACACACACACACACACACACACACACACACACACACACACAGAATATGTGAATGGGTGTTTAGATAAAACCTACAGAAAGCTAGCAGTATGTATTGTCTAATAGTGTGATGCGCTGATCAAAAAAAGGTAAAGGGGAATAAAGAAAGGGAGAGAAATTATGGGTGTGAGAGGGAGGGAGGGAGGGAGAGAGAGAAAAAGACAGAAACAGAAAGAGAGAGAGAGAAATGAGGGGTTTGAGAGAGCACTTGACTCTTCTCCTTGCTACTGCTGTTTGGTCAGTGTTGCTAGGCAACAGAGCTGCTCTCGTAGGTAGAGAGGCACATGAAGAGTCATCAGTTCTGCCTGCAGCACAGAGAAACACACACATACCCAAGCGCGCACACACAGACAATCATGTGCCAATCCCAGATGACAAGAGCTGCAAGTCTGAGGTCCTGTATCAAGCCCACTCCAGCCTTTTTGTGTGTGTGTGTGTGTGTGTGTGTGTGTGTGTGTGTGTGTGTGTGTGTGCCCATACACATGCTTCTACCATGAGTCACTTAAAACAAGGACACGCAACATAGCTCATGCTACATTAGAAACAGACTAATCCGAAACGTAGTACAACTCAAACACGACCGTTAGCTTCAGATGGAGAGGCAGCTTACTGTACCATATATCAATATCTCTGAGCTGTACAATTAAACAGTAGAACAGCATGTTCTACAGTATGTACACATATACAAAGTATACACGCGGACCCACAGACCAGAAATGATCATGCTCATCCCTCTAGCCGTTCCGCGCCATGCTCTAAGAATCTTAATCGAGCTGTAATTTTCTGGTCTTCGGAACAATCATTTTTTTTCTAGAGGAACACAACCCCGAGCCAAAGCTATGTTTTTCCCCCTGCCGGAGCACCTTTTTGTGCGTACTTTAGGACGGAATGGAAAGAGAAGCACACGTTAATAGTTTTCCAGCTCCTGATGTCAATGGTTAGTCAAGCAGGATTCAAATTCAGGCATTTTCATATACAACGTGTTGATGGCAGGATAAAAACAGACAAATATCACAGGCACACAGTGGGAGGAGTGAAGGTGGCCAATGGTTTAGAGTTTGTAAACTTCTTATTTGTATTTTATTTAAGAAATAAGAGCTAATAAAGTCCATCTTTCTTGTATCAGGTTTATTTTAAGCACTGTCATCATATAAATCAAATGAGAATAACTTATTAATGCATTTCAATTTTTGTTTTGATTCACTACCACACTGCATTTAAATGTTAATTGAACACTGCAACTACTATGTATGCGTACACGGTTATTATAATTTATTCTATATATTCTATATTAGTCTATTGATATATATCTTATTACTGCTGTATATGTATATATTTTTTATTTATTTATATATTAATAACCGTTTATTTTTATAGTTAGCTATCAAGTTATTAATTTTTGTTTATTGATATATATATTATTACTGCTGATATGTACATATTTTAAGATATATCTCAATTTATTTATTTATTCTTTTTAGTTTTAATATCAGTACTGTTCGTTATCTTAATTTGTTTCCATTTTTTGTATGTTATATATCGACAGTGCCGCTATCTCCTTCAGGAGTCCTGAGCTGTTCCTATTATGTATTAGCTCACACGTCATGTAAATGCACTTCAATTGTACATTTCTGCAGTTCAGTTCTCTGCTGCAGAATGGAAGAAAGGAAAAAGCTAGGTGACTCCCTGAAAAAAACGTTTAGGCTTGGCATTACAGCGACAGCCAAAAACCACCTCTTACTCATGACTATGGCTCGATTTATAACAAATCCCCCATAGGAAAAACAGCCAAGAGCTTTGCCCCCATTAAGAGCTCCAGGCCTGGTGGTACAGAGAGATTTGTCTTCTTTGGATGGCACACCAACTTTGAGCTGGAAACGCTACTACTTTCTTCTTCATGCTGTTGTTCTTTAGGGAAACATAAACTGTGGCGCAAACTTCAATGCAGTCCTTAGAAATGATTGAAGCCGCCTCGACGATCACAACGCACCTACGGGTTTTTGTACAAGTTGTTTAGTTTGGTTTATTTCCTGATTATCAGAGCTGCAATGCTTTGATAAAGTTATTTGGGAATGGTTGTTCCTTAAATTCTTCCTTTATTTTGAAGCTGAGTTTTTACACATTGTTTTTTTATTCGTTTTTTTATTCTAAATCATGTTCAATTATTGATTTGGTCTCAAATTAACTTAAGTTGTAAGGGCTTCAGGAAGAACTGTGACTCTAGAGGGTCAATGCAAGGAGGGTTAATGAGGTAGATATCCATATTGTGTCCCTGGTTTAGAATAGAGTGACTTCCATAAGTGTTTTCAGGCTATTACTTTAAATCAGACAGTTAACTAAAATATCGTCCCTGACATTACGACACACACCCGTCACAAAAGTACCTACATTTAAAATTATGAAATCGGTAAAAGTCAATTAAAATATTGTATGTTAATAATTCACTGGTCATTTGTACATCTGCTCTCATATCCACATATTTATATATTGTATACTTTCTACCATACATGTAATTTAATCTGACATTCTTTCTTTTTTTATTCCACGGTTTTTTTTCTGCAACCTACTTGAACCATTTGTCTACTGCACTATTTTATATATTTTACTTTTATGTTAGGTACAACGCATTTTGCTTTGTTGGAGGAGACATATTTCAATCACCCACCAGTGCATCAAAAACATATTAATCAGTTTTTTTTAAACATATGGCAGCAAAACATTTCAATTCAAATACAGGATACATTCACAGATGAATTAGGGTTGCCACTATGCTCCAAATGAAATCTAATAAGGCATGTTTGCGCAGGTAGAATAAATAAATTGCTATGGCTTTTAATGTAAGCTGTTTACCTGGACTTGTCTGCCTTTTATGCAAATTCCTGCTAGCCGTCCCTGGCAACTTCTTTGGTTACAATTGTTTTTAGTTTTATCCCATCCCGTTTCTTTCCTTAAGCTCGTTCCACCTGGCGTGGACGTCTTTAAACAAACAGAGCTGGAGTCCCAGAGACAGCCTTTAACAGCTGATCAACAGCCTTTGTAAACACGCCTTTCAATTTCATTTGCAGGATCCTGGAGCCTTAACAAACAACAATGCCCTCACAGACACGTAATCACAAACACACACTCACAAACACACAGACAGACAGACAGACAAAAACAGGTACAATTCTGTTGAAAAGGTTGAATAAGAAAAAGGTAGTACTTACTACAAAACTACTGTTAACTTTTTCTAAAATGCGTTTTTCGTTTAGTGCCATTGCTTCACCTTTTCTTTTCTTCACTCGTTTCTTTTCCAGCTTTTTACAGGCGTACATCTTACCGGTGGCACGTACTTGGCAGGCACAAACCTGGAAAACAGGCAGCGAGGAAACTCCATCACACACAAATTATTTTTATTAAAAAAACGGGGGAAAAAAATAATGGAAGTTAATATGTCAGACTACATATTTCTCCACCCAGCATCACAGGAGTGGAGACATTAACAGTGCTGCGTTAACTAACTGTTAATGTTCCTTGTAGTAACTTAAATCATTAAAGGTGCCCTATTGTGCTTTTTTCCCCTGTAGTGCGTTATGTAGGTTTTTGCGCATGTAAATGGTCTGCAAAGGCTAAAATCTAAAAGGTTCCCTCCTGAGTTTCTCTCCCACACACTCTGAAACACCTCCACTGGACTCCTTTGTTTATTTCTGTAGCAAAATGACATCACTATGTAACACTCAAGCTTGTATTAGCTAGTGATCCGACACATTGTTGGTGATTGGCTAAGCAGCGTGACATCTCTAAGCAACTGACCAATCACAACAGAGCTGGCCAGCTAACCAATCAGAGCAGACTGGGCTCTGGTTTCAGACAGAGGGTGAAAAGAGGTGCTGCAGCACAGGCAGTATGAGAAAGACCTAAAGCATGTAGACATGTCACAATAGAGACACAACATACAAAGTTATCACTTGTGAATTCATTGACACTCACCTCGCCAAATCCACCTTTTCCTAGTACTCTGTAATGTCTGAAGGTATTTTTGGTTACTGGTTGCCTGCAGGGATGGAAAGAAAAAGAAAAGGAGACGAAAAGAGACGTAAAATAACAGATAGGTTACGTCATTCTCTCAGACCATGTGATGTCGCAGACAGAGTAATGCTCTAATACATTATTAATCCACCCTGATGGCTGTGGGTCCCACCCTGCTACAGTTACCCAGCCATTATGTAAAGCATCATCAATTATTTACCCCTCGCACTGAAAAAACAGTGATTGGCTAAACCACCTTTGTGTTTTAGTGTGAGCATCTTTCCTGCAACTACTCTCTATAAAACTACAGACTGTAATCTTAGTTTGCTATTATCTTTTATTACATTCATTCATCATTTACTTGATTGTCTGTAGTTTTCCCTCTAATGATCCCTTCAAATTAAAAGTTTGAATGTGTTCTCTGGTTTGCAAACACAGAACTGGACAGCACCCTTTTACAGGGAATTTCTGTATGTGTGTGAGATCACAGGCGTAATGTAATATAAGAATGGTTTGCATGTGTGCTTTACAGGGCGTGTAATCTGCAGTGACAACCCACCTCTCCAACCATTTCCACTGCAGGAAGCGAGAGAAGTACATGGACTCGTGGTAGGAGGAAAACGGAGCTCCACTCAGATAATCACGAACTATTCTGTAGGGGAGGGGGAGAGAAAATCATTTAATAACAAGGAAAAATATAGATATACATGTCATCAGAAAAAAATTAAAAAACGCAAGCACATGTACAATTTCTGTCCAGATGAACAGACATCTGTCCAGATGAACAGACATCTGGCCTGCGTTCCTTTACCATGACTACAAACACACGCATAATCCACCCTCTGAATCTTAATTGTGCTTGTGTTTATCTGTTGGTTTTTGTGTGTTCAGACATCACTGGCAGTGATAAGGGTCAAAGCCATTGTCAGTGGAACGAGGTCAGAAATATAAAATGTGTTTGAACAGGGACATTCCACTGGTCCATACCGGGAAAAGGGATTTATAGGAAACTGGTTTTCAAAGAGCAAAAAGGTTGAGCTGGGCGTTTAAGCAATTATTTCGCTGTGGCAAAACGGTGGTACTACGTCATTTTGTAAATGAACTTGCCAGGACAAACACTTGAATAGCGCTTGTTTAAATTATTCCTACAGGTCCTACAAGTTGTAAATCTATTCAGTTGACTGCAAAAACACATGCTCTTTGTGTCCAATGGATGCTGTAGACCACCGGAATATCCAGAGAAGATCCAGAGAAGATCCAGGGAAGATCAAGAGAAGATCCAGAGAAGATCAAGAGAAGATCCAGAGAAGATCCAGGGAAGATCAAGAGAATATCAAGAGAAGATCCAGAGAAGATCCAGAGAAGATCCAGGGAAGATCCAGAGAAGATCAAGAGAATATCAAGAGAAGATCCAGGGAAGATCCAGAGAAGATCCAGGGAAGATCAAGAGAAGATCCAGAGAAGATCAAGAGAAGATCCAGAGAAGATCCAGGGAAGATCAAGAGAATATCAAGAGAAGATCCAGAGAAGATCCAGAGAAGATCCAGGGAAGATCCAGAGAAGATCAAGAGAATATCAAGAGAAAGATCCAGGGAAGATCCAGAGAAGATCAAGAGAAGATCCAGAGAAGATCCAGAGAAGATCCAGGGAAGATCAAGAGAAGATCCAGAGAAGATCAAGAGAAGATCCAGAGAAGATCCAGAGAAGATCCAGGGAAGATCAAGAGAATATCAAGAGAAGATCCAGAGAAGATCCAGGGAAGATCAAGAGAATATCAAGAGAAGATCCAGGGAAGATCCAGGGAAGATCAAGAGAATATCAAGAGAAGATCCAGGGAAGATCCAGGGAAGATCAAGAGAATATCAAGAGAAGATCCAGAGAAGATCCAGAGAAGATATGGGTATTTGTGTTCTTGAGAGTCAAGCCATTTTGGCCTCATGCTCCACAGAGCGACTTTCACAGGAAGAAACATGGCCTGGCCTCTAACGCTGTATCCGTTTCTCTTTATACACCCATGGCAACATCTAATGTTACTTTACCTCACACCCGTGAATGTGAGTCTGCATGAACTTATGCCATTGTCATTTATTCAAACGTAATCACCACTAAAAATGTAAGTTAACAGAGATAAAAACTAAGTTCTTTGAGGAAAGCATGGGTCATGAAAGGTCACAGCCTCATCATCACTCCACTGAGAGCTGTAAGGACTCTTTGACCTGACCCTGCTAGCCTTTAATATTAGGTGCTGTTTACACGAGAACGCAAACGGTTGTATCCGCTACTTTTCTCTTTCGTATAGCCCGTTCGTTCACACGAGGCCGTAACTGAAACACGGAAACGGCCCCCGCAAACGATAACAGGTCCCAAGGTGGATAGATCTGCAAACGGAACGCTCTGGAGGGCCAAACGGCTCTGTGTGTACGCCCTATACGATCAGTTCCTGATAACGATGAAGCCATAGCCCCACCTCTCCCCACCTCTGCTGCTCACTGCTGAAGCATGGTTAGTAGCTACTGTCAGTAGCTACTGACCATGCTACAGATGTTAGTGCAAAATCTACAGCTCCTCTACCACAACCATCAGCAACAAGTGGACATGGAGAATTACATGAACTACATGTTGCTAAATCCACCACGGGGCATAAACAGAAGGGCAACCATGGCAACCATGCTCGGGGTCTTCTTCGCTACTTTTGGTATATTTTGTGGCGAAAGTACAGCGCCACTTACAGGCCCGGCATATGTACTACAGCGTCTCCAGCGCTCCCGAGCGGTCTCATGTGAACGGAATACCTTTTTGATATCTTATTTGGTTAGTTTGCATTTGCAAATGGGGTCTTAGTGTCCCTTTTTTCTCTGCTTTGAATACACATGTTGTTTGACTTAAAACACCATGTCCTATTTGACACAGTTGTACAAAACAGAGATGAACTGAACTGTATGAAAGATCTTCACAGTAACTTAAATGGTTTCTGTCCTCGCTGTTGATGGATAACTTTCTTCTCAGTCAACACGTTTTCAAGGTAAAATGAATGACTTTCTGTTTTTATCAAATCACTGTGTACAAGAAAATCCAATTAGATTCCCAGATATATCTTTTTTTTGCATGCACCATAACTTGCTAAATGCAAAACTACTTCAACATATTTCAACATGGTTAAACTGTTGTTTCAAAAATAACAAATGTTTTCGTCATTTCAAAATCTTGGTTTGCTAAACAGTAAATTAAGAAACAGTAAATATGACATGTAAAAATGAAGATAAATAACTGTGAAAACAATAACCATATCAAAATGTGTTGTAAGAAACAATTTTTATAAATATCATTTACAAAACGGTAAAAAAGGAAAGGCAAAAGTCATACATTCACATGTTTATTATTTTTTTTATTTAACAGTTTTGTCCTAATGAATCTTAATCTTGATCATTTATTTGTGTCTATATATGGGTGACAATTTCATATAATGGTACTGGATTAAAGAAAATCTAATTGATGCATCCCTTTTAAAAAGAGCTGTTTAGGAATCTTAACGAACTGTCCAGTTGTAATTTCAGAATAAAAGCAGGCTAATTTGATTTTAAAGAACATCTAGTTAAAAGGCAATTCAAAGTATCTGGAATTATAATTTCCAACTGAAATGAATATTATTATTAGTTTGAGGTTTGTTCACGAAAAAAAAAAAAAGAAGTAATCTTTATTGTTGATATAATCATGGATTGGTAAACGTATCTTTTATTGTTTATATGTATGAATCATATATTAATCTGTCATTACTTAAGTATGTTTGTTAAGCTTATATGGGACAATGTGTTTTTCATTCGTTCCCTTAAGAGACAGTTACTGTAGTGTGCAAAAAAACAACTTTGAAAGTTACAGCAGATATTTGGCCTTGGCCTCACAAAAGTTGAAGAGATGCTCATATTTTGCGGCACAGAGATTTTCCTTGACCGAATTTTGAAATGACTTCATCACTATGGAGGAAGAGGAAAGCTGCCTGTGGTTAACAACAGCGCTGGTGGGGTGGCTGTTCTTGGCAAAAAGAAACGCTGGAGAGTGGAGAGTTTCCACAAGGGGAGCACACTGTGCCGTGTAAACGCAAACTGAATTATGTCATCATGGGACCCAGTGGCTTTGTACACGACATTCAATCTATCCGGAGTAGATGTAGAATTTCCGAAGGAGTAGTTTCAGATTGTATCTCCTCTGCTGCTCCTGAGCTCACATGGGTTTGTACTGAAAGCATGAACATCAAAGCTCAGTTAAAATTGATTAAAAAGAAAGATGTCTGACCTGTACCATAACATGTTTTCAATTCCAAATCTTAAATCTGTCTAAAATCTCAACCCACGGCCTAAATAACTAAAAGGTCCTCAGACCTCAGCTTCTCATCAATGTTCACTTATCATGCCGACAGGCTCAGAGTTACGAGACAAAAAGCGGCCCCGGACACTAAAAGAAAGGGGCTCCAGAAAATCAGGAGACAAGCAGTGCCTGGCTTGGAGTCCAGCCTCAGACAGACACCACTGGGAGTATAAATAAACACAGCTACAATATGTCTTTTGTTAGTCCAAGGGAGCAGGGAGAGGAAAAGAAAAAAAGGAGCAAAATCAGGAAATGGACCTTCGTCAAGATCGGACAATTCGCGTAACAACAAGATGCCCTGACGTACTGAAGGGCCGCGCTTTACTCTTGGTTATGACATAACCGTATGTTCCACTGCAGCAGAAGAATGTGAGTGAGCTAATACGTTTCTGCTAATGGGTGTGTGGCCAAAAAGTCACATTTCCACGTGCAGCACCATGCTTTCCTTTAGGCAGAGGGGAAAAAAAGCCCCCGGCCAGAATTACATATAGGAACAAGAACATTTTAGGAAATTAAAATTCCACATCGGAGTACAACTACTAATGATAGTGGAAGAAGTGATGACCAAACTTGAACAGGAATCCCATTCAAAAACATCTTAACTGCTGCTTTCAGTAACACAAACACTCAACTCTCCTCAACGCTTTCTTTCCATTTCTCTGCTCATTTTCCAAATTTCACCTATTTACTCTGCTTTCATTGCTCCCTGTGGGTCTTTCTAATTCGGCCCCTCGTGCTGGGCTTTCTGCCGGGCATATCACTTTTCTCTCTGCTCAGTTTTCAATTCGAAGTTTGAATTGACTTCCGAGAACTGTCTCTTTCTCACGCCATTTCTCTGCCGTCCCCAGTGCCCTGTAGATTACTCAGAGGTGTTCAAATAGATGCAAAGGGGAAGGGAAAAAAGGGGTAAACAGACCATGACCTAAGATGGAAAAGAGAGAAGGCAGGTGTGTTGTGTTCATCTGAACCTCAAACTGATGTTCCCAGATTGAGCCACACACAAGCCACATTGGGGAACAAATTAATCAAATAAAGAAAATTGAAATATATATCCTTCACTATCAGCCTGGAAAGCTTGTGAACATAGAGGGTTATTGATTTTAGAAATCCAGCAGCCCTCTTCATGTGTTTTGCCAGAACAGGAGAGCAGGCTGAGAACATGACTGAGTGTTTTCCCAACCGTGTTTCCCACTTCTCCTAAACTCCTTCTAGCAGATTCCAGTATTCCCCGGGGGAGCTCGAGTGAATCAGAGGCAGCATTTCCAACCCGAGTCTGTCTGCCTGTGTGGCTCAAAGTTGGGAGGAATGAGGAAACAGTGGTCTGTTTTTTCTCAAAACGTTTGATGAGGCGTGGATTGTACTTATATTGATGTGATACATGCATTCATATTTTTGTAGATGGTTTGCTGACTAAAATAAATATGTTGTATGGCTGAAGACCTCAGTCATTTTCTACCTAGTCAATGCCAGTTTATTTACACAATCCAGCATCATTTTGCTGTATTTTTTTCTATGAGAAAATGTATTGCGTTACCAGAATTATGAATCTCTCGACAATCTTCTATATTACTCAGATCAACTTTTATTAAACTTGGAAAGGCAACAACAACCAATGACATCCAAGCTGAAGTTCAACAAACCAATAAGCAAACAGAACATTACCAATGTTTACCGTCTTTAATTGCTCATACTGTAATTAATGAATACAAACACATCAAGCGACGGCTGTTAAAAATGAAAAAGGTTATGTAAATGTTTGGAATTACTGCACAAGTCACTTATTACGCTTTAAAGGTCACCTATTATGCAAAATGCACTTTTTGTCCCGGTGTGTCAGTAGACTCACAAAGTGTCAGAAAATCCAACCTTCTCTTTGCCTCCTTACCCACATCTCTAAAAACGGGGGTACAACGGAGCTGATCCAGATTTGCTGCGGACTTGACGTCATATACGGAAATACGTGACGTCTTTTGGAAGTAATAAGGTCTGTGTTTACATTAGCAAGTATCACTAACACTCAGAGCTAACGCTGTAATGGAGAGAGTATGTGTAAAGAAGCCGGATGTAAAAGGTACCATACTGTTTCATAAATAAAGCTTGATGTGGTTAGATACAGTTGCAAGAAAAAGCATGTGAACCCTTTGGATTCTCCACACATAGCGTTGTGTGTTCCCTCCCTCAGCTTTGGTTTCATCTGTCCACAGAATATGTTGCCAGTAGTGCTGTGGAACATCCAGGTGCTCTTTTGCAAACTTCAAACGTGCAGCAATGTTTTTTCTGGACAGCAGTGGCTTCCTCCGTGGTGTCCTCCCATGAACTCCATTCTTGTTCAGTGTTTTACATATCGTAGATTCGTCAACAGAGATGTTAGCATGTGCCAGAGATTTCTTTAAGTCTCTAGCTGACACTCTAGGATTCGTCTTCACCTCATTGAGCATTCTGCGCTGTGCTCTTGCAGTCATCTTTACAGGACGGCCACTCCTAGGGAGAGTAGCAACAGTGCTGAACTTTCTCCATTTATAGACAATGTGTCTTACCGTGGACTGATGAACATCAAGGCTTTTAGAGATACTTTTGTAACCCTTTCCAGCTTTATGCAAGTCCACAATTCTTAATCGTAGGTCTTCTGAGAGCTCTTTTGTGCGAGGCATGGTTCACATCTGGCAATGCTTCTTAAGAATAGCAAATTCAAAACTGGTGTGTATTTTTTATAGGGCAGGGCAGCTTTAACCAACACCTCCAATTTGGTCTCACTGATTGGACTCCAGGTTGGCTGACTCCTGACTCCAATTAGCTCTTGAAGAAGTCTTTAGCCTAGGGGTTCACATACTTTTTCCACCCTGCACTGTGAATGTTTACATGGTGTGTTCAATAAAAACATGAAAACATATAATTGTTTGTGTGGTATTAGTTTAAGCAGACTGTGTTTGTCTATTGTTGTGACTTAGATGAAGATCAGAACACATTTTATGACCAACTTATTCAGAAATCCAGGTAATTCCAAAGGGTTCACATACTTTTTCTTGCAACTGTAGATAGATAGATAGATAGATAGATAGATAGATAGATAGATAGATAGATAGATAGATAGATAGATAGATAGATAGATAGATAGATAGATAGATAGATAGATAGATAGATAGATAGATAGATAGATAGATAGATAGATAGATAGATACTTTAATATAATATGGCATTTAATCACATAGTATAATATGGGACCTTTAAACAAACATTTTTTACTTGGCACTTAATGTGAAAAGTCCTAAAAACATAAACAAGGCAGTATAAACTTCCAAAAACCAAAAATATTTTATAACTTTATCCCTCCAAAACTGTTAGGGGTAAGCTAAAACAAAAGAAAGCAGAAAAGGCCATATAATTGAACAACGTATTATATTGTAATTACTATATCTATCGCTGCCAGGTTAAATGTGATCACGTATCATGCTATACATGTCACAATACATCGTAAAGTTGACGGCAACAGAACCTTTGTGTGACACAGAGTGAAATTGTCGGGCTGAGTCACAGTTACGTTGGGATTTGTGGATGTGTGCGACTCTGTGCGATGAGAAGTACATTCTGGGTAATAATCCCGGGTCTGTTTGCTTCGCCTGGCTCTCAGAGCAGGAAGCAGAAACACCTGCAAGAGTGTGTGCGTGTTTGTAAATCTGTGTTTGTGTGTGAAAGTGTGTCTGCAGGGGAACACTGAGGTGGCTGTTGTTTTGGTGCCAGCCGTCCGGATGCTAGCTGTGCCCACTGCTCTTTTTCATTTGCCTCCACTGTGCGTGCGTGCGTGCGTGTGCGTGAGTGTATAATACTGCACTCCAGGTGCCAGCTGCTTCATCATCACTAGTGACAGGGTGCACTAGTCCAGACAGTCTACAAACACACATGCACTTTCTGAAGGAACATAATAATAATAATAATAATAATTCCTTACATTTATTATAGCGCTTTTCCAGATGCTCAAAGCGCTTTACAAATACACATTACACATATCATACATGCAATGGTCACCACTGTGGACAATACCCACAGGAGCAAGTTCAGGTGAAGTGTCTTGCCCAAGGACACAACATGACTGTATATAGAGTGGTGCAGGAATGAGTCCTTAAACCTGGAAAGGAATTAGCATGTTAGCCTTTCCAGGACAAAGTCAATTGTTTTATGAATGTGTTTTTGGTTGGATGCATGATTTAAAATCTGCGCATCTATCAAGAGCTTGTTTTCTTTAATATTAAAAATTCTAAAGGAAAAATCCCATTGCTTTTTGTTGAGGGTAGGCCTTGTGATGCTAACCTCTGCGTCGGCCAACAAACATACGCTGCACCACTCTTTAGGTGACGCCGTTATCACAAATTAAAATAAATCAAGACTTACTTGGTGCAGTCATTGAAGAGCTCCTTACATGGACTCTGCTCCAGCCTCTCCCGACACCCAGCCACCACTTCCTGGGGAACGTCTGGCAGATGGGCTGCAGACTTTGAGGGATACAAAGAGAGAGACAGGAGGGTGAGGCGGGCAGAAGGACAGGGAGGGACAGACATAAAGTGACATGATGCTGGAATGTGATTGCAGACTGTCCTAGACAACAGATCATTATCAGTCAGTTTGTCTATTTCTGTTTGTGATCCTGTAATGCCAGGTCATTTAAGCTGTGGTCACATCTCTTGGGTTTCGTTTGTTGAAGTGATATTCCTGTAAACTCTACCAACGTTCAATGCCCTTTAGAAATAAAAAAGCTGGTGTGGTTTTGGTGCGAACAAAACAAGTAAAAATAACTTGAGTGTGAAAATTAACAATATACCAATATGTATATACATATTTGTTTATCTCATTTATTTTATCTAATAAAAGATGTTAACTTGAAATTTCATATACATATTATTTTATTATATTTTTTCATGGCACATTCTTGCTTTAATCTTTTTATATTTTTCTTATTTTGTAATTTATTTAGAACAGGCAGGAGACACAAATATGAGCACAATGTAGGGGTGATCTCACAAAAAGCTCAATACTATAATAAAATAACAGTAATAACACTCATTTGACTTTACATTAACGTCTTGTGTATAGATAAATACAAATCTAGTTTTTTATTTTTAAGTGTATTTATGTTTAAAATGTTATTTTAAAAAAGAGCAACCGTTACAAAATCAACCCCAATTTCCCCCGGGGTAAATAAAGTATTCCGATTTTTAACCCATTTATTTTGACTTGTGCTACAGGACAGCTTGTTTCCTGCATTCTATTGCTATAAGTGTGCGTCAACATCTTTCATGAGAAATTAAGTCGAAATAGAGTCCCAACCAATAATGCTAATTAACCATCGAAGCAAACCAAAATAGAGGTGTAAACACAACCTAGAGAGAGGTGTCAGTAGTTCACGAGTATCAGTAATACACTTCCTTAAAAGGGTTATTACACATCTTTGGCATCACACAAGATTAAGGCTGCATCTACACGGAGACGAAACGGAGAAAGAACCAAATTCGATATCAAAAAAGTCTTCCGTCCACACGGTAACGCCTCATGAAACGTGTCCGTCCACACGAGACCACTCGCCCGGCTGGAGACCCTGTAGTACATATGCCGGGCCTGTAAGTGGCGCTGTACTTCCGCCACAAAATACACCAAAAGCAGCGAATAAGACCTCCCGAGCATGGTTGCCTAGTTGCCCCTCTGTTCATTCTCCTCTGTGGATTCAACGGTGACGCTGGGATGAGCAGCAGAGGTGGGGAGAGACAGGGCTCTGGCTGTTTCGGCAGCCTCCGTTTCTTTTTTTCTCCCTCCCCGAGGCGAGCGTGTGCTCCTGCTGTAAAAGGCAGGTGCACCGCACCCACTGCCACTAACTCTGAGCCTGGCTCTCGAGCAGGACGTTCACCCTGGTAGTCCACCAGCAGATGAAAAACACCCACCTCTCCGCCTCTTCCAAGGGACGAGGGAACCGTGCGGGGGGGTCTGCTGGAGGCTCCCGCTGGGTGCACTGTCCTGCGAGATATCGGGACCTGGCTCGAAACACTCGGAACACTCGGAACACTGTTGTTGTTGGCGAAACACATCAGCAATGACGCGGGTGACGTGGGGGGTGAGGAGAGGCGGGGCTATGGCGTATAGGGCGTACACACAGAGCCGTTTGCCCCCCCAGAGCGCTCCGTCCGCAGATCTACCCACCTTGGGACCCGTTACCGTTTGAGGGCTCAGTTTCCCCGGTTCCGTTACGGCCTCGTGTGAACGAACCGTCCATACGATAGAGAACTGTAGCAGATACAACCCGTTTCGTGTCCGTGTGGACGGGGCCTAAGTCCAAAGTTGATACAGTCAACTGTATGTCGAACACCATTGGCAAATAGTCATGAATAAAAGTAATGAAGCAATAAAATCATAGGCAAATACAAACTGACATCAGCGAATGAAAACAACTAGAGAGTTTTATATGCGTATTTGTGTTTAAAACTTTAAATGTAAGCAAATATTTTCTTTTGTCTGTATCCATGACCTTATTATTCAACAAGTGTGTGTGTGTTGCATACCCCATTATTAAAGTATGTGTCTAAAAGATTCAGTCCACAGTCCCTCCTCTTCTCGTCCGGAGCGAGCTGGTACATGGCCTGTCGGAGAACAAACAGACATGTGAGCAACCACAACAGCCATACACATTCAGCCATCTTTAATATGTCTCCAAATAAGGTCAGAGGGAGAGAGATGGGCACCGGGAGGAAGAGAGGAAGGATGAGACGGGGTAGAAGAGATGAAGAGAGAGAAGGGTGGCAGGGTTAATGAGGAACAAGAGCGTGTGGAGCCGCAGACAAATAAAGAGATGCTACAGATGACAAAACATCACACCCTAGTCAGGGGCAAAATGGAAACGGTGTTCATTTTCACACTTGGCCCATCTCATGTGTCACCTTCTAGGATGTATGGGTGTATGGGTTTTTTCCCTGCTAGTTTAGCCTTAAGTGTTGAAAGGTGGAGATATAGGTATGCAGGCCAGATTCGAACATGCGAAAGCACATCAAAGATTGTGAGACAGATTGTGTGTTTTTTTTTACAATTTTTGGGCCACCGGTGTCTTTATTGGAGAGACAGATTTGAAAAAGTGGAGACAGTAGGTGATACGCATAAATGGGTCCCGGGTCGGATTTGAACCCTAGTCCTCCACAACGAGGACAGATCCTAAATATATGCGACAGATTGTGTTTTTGGTCAAATATGGCTGCAGGCAGGGAGACGGTCTGAAGTAGGACTGCTTTGTGCCGACTGTTTTGTTTGAAAACACGGTGGGCGGAGAGGAATTGGACTGAGCATCGCTGCCACGGCATGACATCCTTGGTGTGAGTTTGTACCTATATGCCTGCCTACCTACCTTGGAAAACACTAATGTAGGTCCTTATTAAATGAGCATGATTCTTCCTTTTTTCCTCTCACGCATACCTCCAGGGGCCGAGACACAAGCTGGGGCCTGTGTTTGCCTGCTCACCCAGGGGACCTGCCTCTGACGTGGGCTTGACCTCATAGAGGAGTGTGTGGAGGAAGGGGAGGGGTCAGCCCAGGTTGCTAATCACCCCCACAACGCCCATCCCACCCACCCAATCGGTGCTACGGCCAAGAGCAGGGAGAGGACCAACTCCGACTTTCCTTTCCTACTCGCTGCTCCGATTCAAGGGGCTCTCATTGGTGAAATCACAAAGAAAGAGAATGTGGGAAAGAAGAATAGCTAAACGATCATCAGATAATAATTCATGGTGTAAGGTTTAGTGAAAGTCTTACCACAGCGTCCATAAACTCAATGCAGCGCTTCAGCTCTGGCCTGGTATCACAGTACTGCCGGAATAACAGCCAGCCAATGGGCTGCTTCTCACATAGACTGGTGTAGTCCCTCTCTGAGGGGAGGACAGGGAGACACAGGGGGAGAGAAATGTCATTATAACACTAGAAAGATACACGGAAATATGGTATACAAGCAGGAATGGGAATAGTGTGGAAACTCAGATTAGGAATTATTAGAAAAATTCATTATTTTATATATAATACCCCAAAAGCGGTCAAAGGAAGAGACACAATGAAAGAAACTACATTCTACACAAAATAATCTTTATTTTTATTTTCTAAATGTTCCCCTTTTTTTTAGACAAACAGTTTTAAGCATTCAAATGTACACGTCCTAAAAGTTAGCCGATTTCAGCTAAATTATGGATGAGAGATATTGATTGCTAATGCTTTCTTTACTTAGCAAAACAGACAAGGGGCTCAACTTTTAAAGCACAGGACAATCGAAAGTTTTTGTAATAAAATTGAAAATCCCCCCAAAATTAAGTTATCCCTTAATAAGTACATTTGATTATTCTAGAACACAACATGTGATTCTTGTATGTGTGTGTTCCATATATATATATATATATATATGTGTGTGTGTGTGTGTGTGTGTGTGTGTGTGTGTCTCATGTGCAGCTGGCCCCGGCCTATTAGGACTAATGGCGTCCATATGAGTCATATTTCCTCTGGCACCAAATGAGGAAGAAGACCCAGGACGTTCTCCATCACTGGCTGACAGTGAGGACACACAAACATGCATGGGATGAATATTTCTAAGTGGTGACAGCTCCAGAACAAGCTCCAGCAGTAAATCAAATCTTCACAACAGCCCTCCCAGCAGCACTGTTTATTACCCAGCATTCCCTCTGCAGCTCCTCATTCAAACTCGCCACTTATACGACCGCAAAACAAAGTTATCGCTTTGGTGAACAAACAGTGGAGTGTAGAGATATGATATTTGTATTGCTTCCCATTCCACTGTGCAACCGCTGTGTTTTTAAAATCTGAAGAACAAAAGCTCTTTCAGAAAAACTCGCTGAGAGATCTCTAACTGGATTGCGTCGCGCTCGCATTCAGATGTTGCCTTTCATCTCCGATCTGGAAGTTTTTCTTTTTGAGGCATGCTTTGGTGTTTCCCTATCAGCTGGAGCTGGGAAATCCCCTCGCACTCATAACATACATTTTAGTGAGAAAAATGCTAGGAGCTGTTTATTTGAACGTGAGGAATACATGGAAATGTGTATCTCTATACCTCCATAAAAACAAATGCATTGACCCCCATTTAATATTGTATAATCACTGGACAGGTTGTCAACACACTGTCAAATAATGATAGAAGTGATTGTGGCTCAGGGGGGAAATGGGCATCTACCATTCAGATAGTCAGTGGTTCAATTCCAACCACTGCAGTCAACTTGTCAAAGTGTCTTTAGACAAGATACTTATCCCTAAATTGCTCCCGTAGGAATATGGTATTGAAGTGTCGCTTTCGATAATAGCGTCTACATGTAATAACATGTAATAAAAAAACTGTAAAGATAAAGAAGTTTCTAGAGAGTACATGTGGCTTCTGTTTATGAGCTAGTTTATTTGCAAATGGGCAGTGTGAACCTAAACAAACCAAATACAGCAAAGTCAACTTTTCCATTCATGTTCAGAAGAAACAAACTATCCTGGTTTGTATCGTTAGCCTTTGCTAAACTAGAGATTATGGTTTAATTTTTTTTATTTATTTTTGCAAGGGAATTTAGTTTACTGTGTATAATCATCTCTGGTTTACAATGAGCCTCCTGATAAGGTGTCAGTCTTGCTCCAGAACAGGTTTTTGCTGTGAGGATTTCAGGGCGGTTTCAGTGTAATTGCTAGTGTTTCCGGCTGAATCACAGCACAACCGGTCTCCCCTTTGAGGTGACGCACTCCAATTTGCGTAATAAAAAAAGGCAGAAACTGTCTATTGTGCATTGTTCTTTAAAGGATGTCCATGTTTTTAAGTAACAGGCTTATTGAGCAACCTATGTGACGCCAAATTAACTTGTGCAAAAGTAGAAAATTGATTGATTGAAGTAAATATGATTAAACCTTTTAAACACTAACTCAGTTTCTCTACATTTATTTAGAGACCTAATTCCTGTTACTTATTAGCAATATTTTCTGAATAATTCCACTTTGGAATATTTTTCATTTTCATAATACCACATGTGTATATGAATGGATAGAGGAATGTGTCAGTACTCCAGAGATAATTACATATAAATCATGTTGGTAGGACATTTTGGGCCTTCTAGGGGAAAAAAAAACATACAGATAGTGTAAAGGCTCTTCTATCACACACCACTTATACTCGACATTTAAAAAGAGGGCAGTAGCCTCAGCTGGACAGCCTAGTGTATATACTGTGTTATTTTCCCGTAATAACTTGTTTACATTTTAACAGTACACAGAACACCGGGACTTGGCAACGATTAATACCCAGGGACACATGAATGATTTTAGTAGCTATGTTTTCATAAACTAATGGTAGACGACAATTTAGCATATACCTGGAAAAGCAACAACTACCACAAAAAATGAATTCATGTCAACCTACTGTATTAAAAGAAAGGAATAGATACATTCTGTAAATATTTGTTGTGATGATTGTAGTTTTTGCAGCTTTACAGGTTGGCCATTCAACATTTGCTATGTCAATGTCCAATTATGAATTTTGCTACAGAAACAAACAATGCCAAATCACATTATTGTCTTACAAAAACATAGCAAAATGTAGACGGTGGACATAAGAAAACAAAGGCCTGAAAATAATAAACGTTTTCTTGGGCCCGGATTTGGGTTTGTGTGTGAAAACATTGGCATTTGTGTCCAAAATGTTCTCTTTGCATACGAGACCCCTCTTCTTTGTTCTAAACAAAAGACAACTGTGAAAATAACTAGAGAGAGAAAACAAGAAAATACAAGACTACCAGGTTACAGGAAAAAAAAAAGGGACTGTAAAATCAAAAGATAGAAAGGAATGCAGGGAGAGGTGTAAAGCTCGAACCAGTCAGGACTTGTAGCTGTCTGAGCCGTGAAGTAAGCTGCAATTACAACTTAATTAAAATTCCAATAGAGTGGTGCAGGAATCCAAAATAAGGGCAATGAGTTGGCATTTCTCCTTTTCTGGTTCCGTCTATAAGCAACGGTTTTCATAAATGATTCTACTTCATACAATACATCAGTAAACACCCCATTGGTGAATGTAGGAAACTTCTATGTGTCATACAAACAGCAGTTGCTAACAAGTGCCTTAATTAAATTCCGAAACTGCATAATGCCGAATATTAGCCGCATTTAGCTTAGCGGTGGTGACGTGAAGTCATGTACATGTGAATTAGTTAGTTTGTAGCCTAACGTTCGCTTTTTACTTACGACGATTGCACTCACGCTTCAAAAATCAGTTGGTGTTAAAAGGTGGAGATTATCCGGCTGAAAGAAAACATGTAAGTATCGCAAACGTGTGTTTGCCACGGATCTTATTTCCTGCAATATTCCAAAAAACTATTAAAAAGTCCCATAGGCTTTTGGTAGTGGGAGCCCTTGAATTTCTAAATTACGTGTCAGCATGCAAAAAATATGTCATCACTGCACCACTTTTTTTGGGGCCAAGAGTGAGTGACTTTTTTCCCGAACGGCCAGCCAAATGTGCACAAGTGTAGGCATGTGCGATGGCTTAAGAGATCAATAGTGGTAGGTGCAGGTGTACTGTATGCACTGGATGGATACCAGAAGAGAGACATGGAGATGGAACAAGAGGAAGAGACAAGACAAACTGGCTGCAGCCCACACAATGTAAACTAGACTTCCTAGAAGTACTGCACACTTGTCAAGGCTACGGTCAAATGGCTGACATTTTCAAGACAAAACAAAGACACTGCGAACAGCCGCTTTACTGTACCCTTCCATCTGCTGCGCCTACACTGTGTACGGGCATGCGTACACACCAAGCGGCAAACTGTGGGGTAGAGCCGGGAAGCCAATACGGAAGTGCCACACACTGCAGTTCATATATTGGCCGATAGGCGATGGCTGCAGAAAGGAGCAATTTCCATAGACCCCCATGTTAAAATGCCCGATTTTACAGCAGAAAAAAACATGTTTCTACCCCTGGCTCCATACATTTTATTATCGATATAGTTAGATTCCACCTTCATGATTATGGATCTGTGAGTGAATTGTTTTCTAACGCGACCCTTTATATTTATATTAGGTCTTAAAGTTTGTGCATACATTAGGGCGTGGTCACTTTGATTGACAGATACGTGCCTCACTGTCAGCTAACAGCAACTTGTCCAATCTGCTAGGCTACAACCATAGAGGCTACAACGTTAGTTAGTTGTAGTTACTGTACTTGATCCTTTAGCTGTGTTCGTGGTGATCGTGCCTGTTAGGGAATATTGTTACAAATACCAGATAATTAAAATGTCGTGCTGTGCGCTTGAATGTACTAACAGATCTTCCAAGAAGTCTACTTTCAGCTTTTTTCGGTGAGTAAAATGATAATATTATACATGTTAACCCCGTTAGTAGGTGTTTGTGTGCTTGTTAGCTTAGCCTGTTATGTAGCTTATTAGCCAGCTAAGGACGTAACTCTTTATACATATATACAGTTTAGTTTATGATTCAGCCTTGGGTAAGACTTTTATACTATATGGCTATGACGCCCATAATGCTAAACGGGAGCAAATGTTAAAAGGGGTGGGCCGCCGGGGTCCACGCCGCCGAAGCTAACGGGGCTGCAGGGTGCTAGCTCGCTAGCGCGTCCCGGCGGCCGTAGCTAGCACCCTGGGGCTCCGTTAGCTTCGGCCAGCGGCGGAGTCCGGCGTTATAACTGGAGATCAAGGAATGCATCGTAACGCGGACTTGGTTCGCCTGCAGCCCGCTGTAGTATTAGCTAAATAAATGATGTTGAGCAAGGCTTATTAAGCTGAACACCGCCACAATTATTCTGCTATGTATCGGTACTTATTTTATTTTATTAACGTGTGAATGACAAGCATTAAGAATAATACCAAATAGCTAATTATCTTGCAGATTGTCTCGTTTGATTATGAATGTAACGTTTATATAGTGGAACTACACTGTTTTATCAAAACCAAAGTGCCACGCAGTGACTTGGTATGCATGTATTTCAGCAGGAAATGTGCAACCTAGATGACATTTACCAACACAGACTATATAGACATATTTGTAAAAGTTGTTCATGCGTTACTAAGTGAATATGGCATTAACCCTCCTGTTGTCTTCGGGTCAAATCTGACCGATTTACTACTTTCATCAATCATGTTTTACATTCGATTGATACTGAGAGCATGTTAGCTTAGCTTCTTAGCCTGAGCTAGGACTCGAACGTCACGCTCGTTGGCAGCAGGTCCCGCCCTGTCCCGCCTCGGCTCCGCCTCAGCTCCGCCTCTTTGCCCTTATTTGGAGAAGGCGGGAGTTAGACTCTGACGACACCGTCGAGCCGTTAGTGGCCGACTCCGCCTACTAAGGGCTTCACGGCAACTCTGCAGAATCCTATGGGTGACGTCACGGACCCTACGTCCATTTATATATACAGTCTATGGTACACACACGCCTTCACGTCTGTGCGTTTAAGTAGGCAAAAGGGATTATTTTGATCCTGCCCTCAGTGTGATAGGGAAATTACACAATAGCATCTATGTATTAGTGAAGTATGTAACCCTCAACAGCTGCTGCGTGCATATGTGCGCCAACACACACACACATTAAGGCCGTTTCAAGAATCCTCTACAGGGTTATAATCCAAATGACATTAAATATGCAAGAAATGACGAGCAAAATGCTTCTTCACACTTAAGGTGACATTTATGTGCTGTTTTTTAAGCAGCTGCCGTCGACTGATGCATTCAGGTTTATGATAATGAGATCTGCGATTTGTGATATGAAGACAAAACGGCGAGGAACACAACCGTTGCTGAGTAAGAGATATCACCGTTGGGAGTATGTGCATCTACATCTCTTTCACTCCCTCCTTTTCCTCTCGTTTCTCTCACTCTCTCCTGTCCTTAAGAGATCTTTCTCCCCTGTTGTAAAAGCTTCTCCCTCTCTCTCTCTCCATAACTCTCCTGTTCTGCCACTCTTATGTTCCTCTGAAGTGGTGGAAAGAGGGAGGGAGAGATGCAGATAGTGGGAGGGGGAGGCATGGAGACAGAAAAGAGGGAGGAAGAGTATGTGGGGGAGGGTAGCACTGCAATCTCTGGCAGAGATAGCAGTGACGCACTATTACACACATACAGGCACCTACACACACACATACACAGAGTGTTGTGGCATTCAGAGGACCGGGGTGGGTGGGGGGGGGAGATAATGTAGCCCAGGAGTAGAGCACTTGCCTGGGCCACAAAGAGAGAATCCTGCCCCTACTTTAAACAAAATCTGGATGTGGAGAACATGAAGGAAGCGGCACTGAAGATGTTTTGATTTGGTGTGTGTGTGTGTGAGCAGACAGTCATATCAGGAGAGACTTGGGGATTAAGAAACGGCTGTGTGCAAACCGATTTCAGAAACACACACACTCACAAAGTGTTTCCTGTCCCCTGCCTGTAACTACGGGTGGAGACGGGTAGAAGCAGGAAGGAAGTCCAATCTGAACTTCCTCCCGCAGTCGGACCCACCCCAACGACACAGCATGGCACGTTATCTTTCTGCATCACAACCATACACACCCACACTCCAGGTTTCTTACCGATAGTGCGGCGTAGCTCCTCACACTGGCTGATGTGGGGGAGTTTCAGCATCTCTTTCCATTTCTTGCTGCGACCATTCCTCTTCCCCCCTCCACCTAAGACACACAAAAAGACATTAAAAATCAGCACATCAATCAAGTCACTTTTTCGACATTATACTTTGAGTCTTTAACCACATCTGATGACTGAATTTCGACCCAAGAACAAAAGGGCATCCATCCTTGTGAGTTTGTGTGTGTGTGTAGATGTATGTGTGTGTGCATGCGTGTTGTTGACCTTGCAGCGACCAGAGGCAAGGACAGCTGGTTCATCTCACCAGTCGCCTCTATGCAGCATGACGGAGCATGTGGTGAAGAATGTTTGACAGCTCCAAAGATCATGGGGCATGCACACATTTAGTCTCAAAGACAGGTTTACATCAAAGAGCTTCATCTTGAAAAAGTAGGCAAGATTATGAGTCGCCTTAGCAATCTAAAGACTGCAGACATCAGAGAATCTGCTCTGATAAAAAACACAGGACCCAACATGTTAAATAAAAACAAAAACGTTCCCAGAGAACCTGAACAGCAGCTTTTATCAGTCCAATCTTTATATCTGGTGAGAACGCCTTTGCATGCACTCACAGCCCCTAGCTGAAAGATTGTAGCAGAGCAACTCGGAACACAATGCAATGATTTACTGCATCAACATCATTTGGATTCCCAAACAAACATTCTATGGAGACTGCAAACTGCCATGTAATTGAAAGAATAAAAGGTATTTTGGATAATGGCCGAGCAACAAGAGCTGTATTCTTTAAAAAATATATACTGGTAACCACAGCATGATGTTATCAAAACTGAACAAATTCCAATGATCTAAACATGCCGCAGTTGCCGCACAATGGTTTGACTTGTACTAGGTGAAATGTTCACGGTTTAAGATTTAATGCAAGAAAAACTATCCATCCAAAAGCATTGGGGATACCCCAGGGCTCAGTTCTAGGGCCATTGTTATTTAGCATGTATATCAAAGCACACATAAGTATACAAGTATACACCGGGATACAAATCAAAGTATCCCGGTGTTAGCTGCCAAATCCATGCAGATGAAACCGTCATTTATATATCTGCCAGAACAACTAGCAAGGCCGCTGACCAGCTTAATGAATCCTTTCTTTCTGTAACAGAATAATTTGAGTCATTCTATCGAAATAGAAGGTTTAAATATTGTTATCTGATGACGTTCAAAATGTGACATTGTCATACTTCGTGTTGAATTACTTCCTTGTCAAAAGCCTGACTGTCAACCATTAAAGCCATCTTCTCGCTGTATAACCATGGAATAAAAGAGATTGACAAAAAACAGGGAGGTAACACAATTGGGACATCTTGGACAAATACAATATGTCCAGCTTTGAAAGAGTCCTTTGTTTTTCCAACTTAAAGAGTCATTTCAAATGGCTACGAAGTCATGCTTCTTACCCGATTATTAAATGTGTTATGAAATACATGCACACCGGCCTCAATAAACGGTAACTGTCACAGAGAATTACACAGGACTCCTTTTGGACAACCAGTTTTCTTTGTTAAAAAGGAACAAAACGTACTGCCTATAAAAGTAATTTAAAATGCAACACAACTTTAATGTTTAGAATACAGGTATTCAATCATGGCTTGTAGAGAAAGATACACAACTTATACCCCCATAGAAATACGCATGTAAACATATTTTTGTGGACCTATTTATCTTTGTGTATGTTTCTATTGTAACTTATGTTGTAACCCACCAGGCATTTCAATACAACACACACACACACACACACACACACACACACACACACACACACACACACACCACACACACACACACACACACACACACACACACACACACACACACACACACACACACACACACACACACACACACACACACACACACACACACACACACACACACACACACACACACACACACACACACACACCACACACACACACACACACACACACACACACACACACACACACACACACACACACACACACACACACACACACACACACGTTGGAGAGTGCGAGCAGCACATTAGATGACCCTGATTTGAGGGTTGAACAACCTCTAGGCACATAAACGCTATTCAAAGGGGTCTTGGGTCACCCCATATATTTGACTGAAATGTTCATTCTAACAACAGCAGGGTAGTGTGGTAGTGTGTGTGTTATTGTGCAGGGTAAACTGAGGTATTTACCCCTTGAGGACAGACACTAAAGCTGAAGAAGTCAGCAGCAGATGTTATCCTGATGACATGCTGCTTTGATTTGCAAACTAACAGCTTTACAAAACCAGAAGATGTTAAAACAGACGAGATGAAAGCTTAAATTGAATATTGATTAATGGTTTGTAGATAATATATAATTTGGTAGTTTTACCGTTACAAAAAATATATGTATAATGGTTGTCATACTGCTTTCCTTTTCCATCAATTTAATCTAATTTTCTGCACTATTGACAATAGGCATGGAAACCAAGAACAATCATTTTCTTTCTGATGTTATAATAAGTACCAACAAATGATACCAAAACAACTTTTTATAACACCATATGTTTGTATAGAGCCAGTTTGTTTTGTAAAAAATAAGGAAAACAAATATTTATATGAATAATAATAATATTCATAATTAACTGTACGGAAGACGCCAAGGAGACAGTCCTAAAATGTTCAATTCTTTAACGGTTATCAACTTGGAAAGAATCTTATCATTTCATTTGGTTTTTAACTCTTACATTTTGACCTTCCTAAAGGCCTATTTTGTATTTAATGTGTATGGAAACTATTTTTTTTTTTTTTTGAAAAGATGACACAGGATGACATAAATCCAGGTAATCACAGCCTTGAGAAAAACAAAAAACTTGAAACATGACGTGTTCGAATATTTTATATAAAACAGCTTATAGAAACCAACTACTTCACTGGAATTGTGAATCACCTTTGCAAAAACGTTGCCTGGATTCAAAGTGCAGTTTAGAGTTGGCAAAACTATGATTTAACTTAGTAAAACTTAAGAATACATAACAGAATTGTGTGATCTTATAGCTTCAACAGTGATGTATTGTTCAAATTAATAGGTTAAGTAGAATAATAATTTCAATTTATATAGCGCTTTTCACGAAACCCAAGGATGCTTTACAATGGGAAGTAACAAAAAAAGAAAAAAAGAATACTAAGCAATCAAAAGAACATACTATTTAACACTTTTCAACAATAAGTTCAACATAAATCAAGGTGTCTCTTACTTCTATCATTTGAAGAATAAAAAGGCAGTCAACGTGTTCAGCATGTTTTTAGTTGGTAGACAAAGAAAAGTCAGATTAAAGACAGACTCATATCTGATTTCAGATATTTACAGATTTAAACTCTGAACTATCTTCCAGCCCACATTTCTGATTTCTCACCAATTGATATGCATGTTTTAAAAACACTGAACAAACAAAGCAGTCCCGAGCTCGAGTAAACCGTGTCAACTGTGACGGTTTGAGGATGACGGAGAGGGAAATCCTCTGCCCCAAAGTTCACCAGACACCAGCTGGTCCGGCAGAGACATGCGACAGCTTCAACGCAAATACATACAGGGGCCACGGTGGTCAAACACGAGCAACACAACACCTTAGTCTTGTACTATGTTCACAGGGGGAAAAGCGCACTACAATCATGCAAACAAGCCGGATATCAGCTCTAGAAACTGTCATTAGTCAAATTAATGACGCTTTTTTTTTTAACTGCGTCACTCGTCAATGTTTTGCTAACAAAGCTTTTAAGATCCCACTGCTCTCAGGTAGTAGAGGTGGATAGGCATGTTGACAGACCAGTTGTGGGGCTGCAGGGCATACACACACACACACACTCACAGAACACTTAGATATAGACGTACGGGCACATGCACAAACATTTCCGTTGCAGCATAAGGAAGGACGGCAAAGATAAATGTTGAAATGAAGAGTTGGAATGCACACACTCTGATGATAGCCAGTGGAATCCTTGCGCACGTTTGAGCCTAAAACACAGGATGACTGATGATAACAGTCGAACCAACTCAACCAAAAGTAACAAGTTATCAGAGACTAACTTCTTACCAGGTGATGTAGTTAAAGGGAATTTAAGTGTTGAGACAAGTAGTGGCAAAACAAGTGACTCATATGATTTACTAAAGGACATAAGCGTGAGAAATGTCACCTCAACTTGGGGAAAAAAATAAGGGAAGGAAAGCTATAAAAACAAGACAAAATACAAAGAAAGAAAGACAGGGATTTAATAGCCAGCCGAGTAGGAGTGTGTGTTTGTGTGTGTTTGTGTTCGCGCTGGTGCACGTGCCTGTCGGAGCTGGCTGGGCCACCCCACCCTGTTTAATGTCACTCTGACGTCAAAGCCATGTGTGCAGGCCCTTAATGCAGACAGGATGGAGCGAGTATTTATTTAACTTTGGTTCTCCCCTCCAAGAGAACGAGGCCCTCCATAAACACGACTTCAGAGCCGCTTCACTCATTCATGGCCGAGCTGCAGCCAGCGCTGAGATCACCACCCTGGATCTCGGGCACAGGTCTGTGCATATGCGAGGTTTAAAAAGTCGGGACATGTCGAGAAAGATGTCAAACCCAGCAGACGTGCCTCACAACTAGGATGCACATTCCTTTCCGTTGAAGATGTATAGAGGAGGGCTATCCTGGTTGAGCAGCAGTCCAAAACGTGTAACTGACCTCACATCATCCCTCTCGATATTCACACATATTTCTTTTCACTCTCTGTCAACTATCCAACAAAAGCTATACAAAAATGCAGTCGACTGCTCGACAGCTTCGACCACAGATTAATGGATGACGCAACTCAGCTTGTTTAACCAGAGTTCTATTCTGTTAATAAAACCCAACAGGCTGTTATCGCTTGTGGCATTCATGCATATGAGCGTCAGTTCCTTTAGCCTGAGGTGGACTTTGGTGCGTTTCCTCCATTTCCAAGTCTGGTTCAATGTATATATACATAGGATGAGAGTATGGGAAGCTGAGCTTTTGTTTGTGTGTGTCTGGAGTACAGGCCAAATACAGGCTAACAGCATTC